TACTGCCTCACCTCAGAGTTCTCCTTGTTATCGGACTAACAGTCTTTCCTTTCAGGTTACTACTCCCCATTTATCACGAACACCTCATTCGACTTCCCTATTCTCCATGTCTCAGTAACACCAAAAGTCTGTCCTCCTCCATCAGCTTTTTATATCACTTACACCTTTTACCTGCACTTGCTACATGCAGAACAAAAACACTTAGACATTTTAGGGTTAATTTCACACTCTCATCAATCAGCCCAACCACCCTCAATAACACCAAAACAGGGGAAGCAGTATCTCCTGGCCACACACACACACTTGCTGCCGGCTGAAACAACAAACACAACAAACGATGCAGAGGGGATTGCAGAGACCAGCTCTGCAGGCGCCTTGGTTGAATTGCTTGCAATTGCTGCAGCTAAAAATCCTTTCTCCTGGATTTCATATTCATTTTTTATCATCCTCTTTATGGTGGTCATATACCCAATTATGCCAAACCTATCAATAACTGACATTTTTCTGTGTAGCTACTTTCCCATGAAGTCACAAAGCATCAGCATATGGAACTTCTTCCCATTTTTCAAGATGACAACCACGCTTGGGTAGGCTCCTCAACCTGAGGATTCCCATAAAGCATCCCTATTATTTCCATCAATAATTTTTGCAAAGCAATTTTTACTATCTTTCATATGTACCTCCTTCCCACAAAGATAACATCTCCAATGTATCTCTCCCTTTCTCTAGAAAAGACCTCTTCCGCTCGAGGTTTCTGTCCCCCACTGCCCTCTTGCGACCTCCGCTCCTCCCTTTCCCTTAGATGCTGTCTGGAACCCCTTTCCCCAGGCTCCTGTCTAATAACCTCCCGAACTGTGACCACTGTAACTTTCACCTTCTGTTTTACTTTTTACTCATCCCTTCATCCATGTACTTTCTAGAGCCTCCCACAATAACTCATTGAGTTCCCTCTCGTTCCAATAATCTTCCCTTTTCCCCCACCTTTCTCATTTCTCTCTCTTCCCTTTGTCTTTCCTTCCCTTGGGGGTAAATCTTCCAGTATCCCCCTGACGATTCAGTCATCCAGTACACATCGCGTATGCACTCTCCTCCATACTATGTGGTTCTTTAGAATTTACAAACAAATTTAAAGCCTGATAAATTAAATTTTCCGATGACCCAAAGCGAGGCCAGTATAGCCCTCTGATCACATCGGTTCTCTGGGCCAGATATTCATACAAAAAATCAATCATCTTCACCTTATACTTTCCTCTGGTATGTAACCCGTTTTCCCATTCCTCCAACATTCCTTCTAAGGACTGTCTGGAGGAATTTCAGGGAGTTTCTTCCTATTTCCCTTTTCCTTAGAGCATCTACTTCTCCCAGACCCCATTTTCAATTTCTATTTAAACTCCACTCTCACCCTCCTCTCTGCCCTGGAGTCTCAAACACTTCCAGACCCCAGTACCTTCAGGAGGCTGCTTAGACTTCGCAAACTCCACTCTCGCCCTCCCTCCACTCACACTCAAATTCCACATTTGCTTCGTCCGGTCACCGGCCATTCCCCTCGCAGAGATACGAAACCGCAGTTAAAAGGACTCCTCACTCGCTTCGTGCTGTTCCTGCACATCTCAATCTCTCACACCCACACTTCCATTCACACTTAACCGCCTGGTAATACTTAACGGTCTCTTTTCTTACCTGGTCCTGTACACAGGTTTTAACGGTTGCTGCAGATGAATCCCCGGAATTGGCCTCAGGTACCAACCTGGTACCTTCCATTTGGTTCACACCGTCAGTCCTGGGTCTTCTGTCACAACTGGCCTGCAGAAAGGGTTCAAGCGTCTGGACCACCAAATTGGCAGGGCGCGCCTTCTAGTCGGGTTGCTCCCTCCTAGCCAAGTGGTGGACTTCAGATCCCGGATGAGCCCCCAATTGTGAGAAACACACTCACAAAATGCAAATTTAGAGATGGATAAATTCTGTGAAGCAAAGGTTTATTAGCGGCATGCTGGGTGCATTCAGGAAGTGGGATGCCTGAAAAGCACACCTGTTAATAGATTGAGGTTTATTTATAGTAACATTCATTATCATAGCCACACATTTTTACAAAGTTATTTACATATTCAACAGGTTTCCAGGGAAATATTTAACATAAGTTTCCGCCCATTGTCACATGTGCACTAAAATTCTGAGGTGGTCATTGAGGGTTGTGAAGATGAAGGCTCGGAGTCTTCGGGATGAAGGCTCATTGTCTTCATCGCTGTAAACTTTTCACCCTTTTCCCAGAAGCAGATGTATTTTGTCACTTATTCTGCTAATTGGGCATTATCAGCACTATTTCTCTAAACATCTCTGGCTACACAAACACCTGGACATTCCTAGATAGGGTTAGTAGGATAGACAAAGGGGTTTCTGTTCAATTGGGGGATACCATTTATCTTCAAAGAATGTGCTCAGGCCTTGTGCTTATTTGTGGGATTGCTGAGTCTGCAACTGAGTTTCACAAAGGTCCTACAAGCAGCAATTTTAACCCCTTTCTCAGTGCGAGAGGGAAACTGCAGCTGTGGGCAGACCCATATTGGACTTTTGTGAACTCCACCTCCTGTGGGAAGGGCGCCATGTGGAAGCAGAGAGAAAGGCTTGGAGGAAGTCTTCCCCTACCTCCTCTCTGAACCGGAAGAGGAGCAGCAGAGACTGCATGGCATGAACTGACTGAAACCTCCATTCGCATTCACCCTGTGCCCCAGGGCAAAGGGGGTAAGGTGAAGAAACCAGGAACAAAAGCTGAGCCCAGGAAGAAGGGAGGTGTGGGGGAGAGGTGTTTTGACTTTAAGAACTGGTTGTATCTCCCATTGTTCTACTCTGATGTTGGTAACAAATTAAAAATTGTTTTGTTTTTCTCCCTATGATGAGTCTGTCTTTTGCCTGTGACCTTTTAAGTGGTGAGAAGCCCTCCCAGTCCTTAATTTGACTAGCCCGCTTTTCTGGGGCATTGTGGTGCTCAGTTACGCACTGGGCCTAAATCACAACACATCGCCAGCCCAGTAAATGGGGAATCAGCCTCTCCAGGCAAGAAGCAAATGTGCTCCCTCTCAAGGGCCCACTTGAACATTCAACACATGAGGGCACTTACTGTAACTGGAGCTGGCAATCTGGAGGAACATACAACTTGAATTCGAGGCTGATGTATAGTGTATTTATGAAGGTTAACCAACTTTAAACTTACGCTTGTAAGTCAAATGCAGAATGCACCCAAGAAAAACATGTATTTCTGTTGTACTTATGTCGAAAGGATATTACTGGTTTCACTAATAGAGGCAAGCAATGAAACATGTGACTCCTGCTGGCACCCTTCATATTAAAAAGGATTTATTGTAATGCCAAAATCTTTTAGAGGATAGCTTGAAGGCATGCCTGACATGCAAAGACTCAGAAGCCAATAAGGTTTTTTTTTTTTAATTCCACAATTTATTACTGAAAAGAGGACAAAACGTCACTGCCTCAGGCAACACACTCCCCTCAGAGTTGGCCTGAGGACACTGTGGGAGGCCTGAGGCAGCCACGCACCTCTCACTCTGGAAAACCTGGAGAGGGACTTACAGTAATGGCCCCTTGTCCCGCCTCAGCGCCCGGCCTCCCACACCGACGCGCACCACTCGGCCGACTGGAGAGCCCAACGGCCCAGCCACCCCGTCCCGCCTCTCGAGGAGGATGCGAGGCTGCGGCCACACTCAAGATGGCCGCCCACCCCCAGAGTCTCAGACAGGCTATCAGCTACGGGGCTACTGGTTAAGATGGCGACCGCTCACCTGTGGTCTCTGCGCAGCTTGCCCGCAGCCAACATG